TAGAGAGAGAGAGAAAGCATTAGAGAGAGAGAGAAAGCATTTAGAGAGAGCGAGAGAGCGTGCGTGAGAGAGAGGGGGAGAGGGAGGGTGACAGGGAGAGAGGAGAAATTTGCAAGGGAGAGAGAGCACAAGTTAGAGAAAGCGTCCCAGACTCTGTGACTCTCTGCCTTGCTCTCAGTATTTCCACATTGTTAAATTGACTACGTCACGAATTTTCTATGGTGTATATTTGAAAAAATTTGTTGCCATTTTTTTACATGAAAAGTAAGTACTAACGGGACTAAATGTATCGTCAAATATCAACGTTTTGATATTATGATCCTGACATTAATTGCTTGCTATGGGGTATGTATGAGTCACGAGTGTATGTTTACATTGAACAATTATAGTAAAAAAGGAAGTATAATGCAGCAATTTAATCATAAAAAGTGAACAGTATTACTTACATTTTGTGAAAAAGTGGAAATGTTTTGTTTACTTTTACTATTAACGGTGACGTAATCACTTTAACGATACTCACTGTGTGACGCAGGTGTTGACAAGGTCTACAACTATGAGGATGTGTTGCGTCAGGTCAACTACTACAACAACCGACCTGCGTTCTACCTCAGCCGCACCTTCAAACTCAAGTGCAGCGAGCTGAACGGTCGATTCAACAGCAACGAGTTCAGAATGGAGGTAGGGACGATCAGTCATTGCAGCCACACACTGCCACGCACACACACACGCACGCACGCACGCACACGCACNCGTTGGCAAGGCAGTATGACACGTTGATACGCTGAAATTTCACGGTCGTGGAACCTGGCCCGGAAAACCTCTTTGTAAACCTCTGCAAAAACGGTTTATAACAAAAACCTATATTGTAACGCCCGTAGGAGTGTCAGTTCTCTTATTGCTGCTCGTGGCAGTGGAGGGAGATGCTGCCAGCTTCACTTGTCTCCGTCAACGCGTGTCGTTACCATGGTTACAGACGAAGCGAGCATTCTGGAGCACCAGCTGGACAGCTGCGTGATCATGGTGGATTCGCCGAGCCTCGACCCAGACCAGGAATATTTCACTGTGCCGACAAACCTGATGGTAGAGCTGGGACTCGACTCTAAGCAAACACAGGATGGGCTCATCATAGCCGGTGAGCAGAAAGCAAGAGAGAGGTGGAGGGAGGGAGGGAGGGAGGAGAGAGGAAGGGTGGGTGGGTTGGGAGGGAGGAGAAGGAGAGAGGAAGGGTGGGAGGGTGGGAGTTACGGGAGGGAGAGAGGAAGGGTGGGAGGGATGAAGGGAGGGAGGAGAGAGGAAGGGTGGGAGGGATGGAGGGAGGGAGGAGAGAGGAAGGGTGGGAGGAAGGGAGGGTGGGAGGGAGGAAAGGTGAGAAAGAGAGCCAAATAGAGCGACCACAGGCGAGAGAGTGAAAGATGAGAAGAGAGAGATAGAAAGAGAGAGGGAGTGACAGGGAGAGAGAGAGAGGGAGTGACAGGGAGAGAGAGAGAGAGAGAGAAGCTATAGAGAGAGAGAAGAAGCTATAGAGAGAGCGAGA